GGGGGGGGGGGGAGGGGAGAGAGAGAAAAAGAGAGAGAGAGAGAGAGAGAGAGAGGGACAGACAGACAAGGTGGGGTGGGGAGGGCAGGTTGGTGCATGAATATTATGTGAGGATTTCTCAGGATAGGACAGGTACCCCTTGACCTAGGGTTACCAGGATAGTAATTTCTTAAAACAATCACTACACTGAAATTCCCAATATTTTCATAGCCTCCCTCACATGGTATTAAAAGATCTGATCTGTGTTATGCATAATTACTCACCTAGAAAGAGCCAAAGGGGATAAAGCAAATCATACAAACTGACCAGGATCCTCAAATGTCCTTTTGGTGGGCTTTGGAATGTATCTTTTTGTACTTTTGCACTTGACAAAAGAAGTGTCAGGTACATGGATATTTTTCAAAACTTCCAAAGGAATCACTTTATGGATCTTATTTTCCCTCTTCTTTATAGTAACGCTCAGGTCAGGCAGACCAAAGCCTTAAGCCAAGGAAAGCTACAAGGAAAACTGCTCCTAATTTTTCAGCCTTGCATTCCAAGGTATGAGCTAGGTATATAGGTAAGGTGAGTGAGGAGACTATTGAGAAGGGGCTACGAAGATAGGACTGTGTTCTTTCAAGATTTTTCTGTGAATCCCTACTGTGTGTCACAAGGGAATTATGAAAAAGCAAATTAGTGATAATGTTAAAGAATGTACTGCTGAGAAGCGAGAACAAGAAGTTGTGCAAAGATCGGCCTGAAGTCAGGCCAGGGGGGCAATTGAGGACTGACTCTACTGCCTTCAGCACAGTCAGAGCAGGTGAGCAGACAGGCAAGTGGTGTATGGTCCAGCTGAGGGAGGGGAAAGAGTGAACAATGGAATGCGTGGCTGGAAGGCTGGGGAAGGGATGTTTGAAGTTGGGTGAGGAAATGTGGTTGGAGAGAGGGTGGGCTGTCCTAAGAGGGGCTCAAGGAAACCCCTAGTAAACAACTGTTGCATCCTCAAGAAAGTAGCACACGGAGTCATTTATCAGGTCTTGGGGTTCCCTGGTTGTAAGGTTGTAGTCTTGTAATGACTAAAGATCTTTATGTCGCTAAGAGAAGTTGATTCAGATCCCCATCTCGGGTTCTGGGCAGGCCTTGGAGGAAGCTGGAGCCTGGAATAGTAGAGTCTTTGCGTGGCCATCACTGAACAGGAGAGATTCTGGCCCCGGTGTGGAACGGAGGCTTCAGCACTTTCCAGCACAAAGGCAGGAGACGAGAGAGATGTTTGAGGATATGAGCCGTCTGGGCTCAGATAAAGGGCTGCAACGGCAGTAGGAGCTACAGCATGCTCTTGAAGACCTGACAAGATTCAGGGCATGCACATTACACAGGGACTAAGCTGGGAAAGGGCCCAGGAGGATTTCCAGGTCTGAGGTGGACAGCCTGCATCATCATGACATTTTTTTGGCGTTTCCCCTGTGCAACGAGTCAGTACTCTGGCACATTCAGTACTAACCAAGAGGTAAGAGTTCATTGTTCACTGAAAACCACATTGACAGTTGGGGAAAACTATGAGAACCTGATTGGATCAGTAGTGTTTTTGGCTGGTTTTGCAAATAAATAAATGTATCCAAACTGAATATGGCAGTACATGATTCAATAAAAATTACTAAAACTAATTCACTTTCTAAAAGCATGTATGTAAATCATGTACATTTAGGAAAGGTTATAGCTACACCAACTTGTGGCTTTACATTTTATTAATCCCCTAGAATTAACAGGCACCAAACAGTGATCTTTCAATTAGAGGGTGAACTCACTGAGTAACTGTATCTAGTTTTTCTAGGACCTAAGAGCCAAAAGGAGAGAATTTTAGATGTGGAAGGGTCCAACTCTCTTACTGTATAAATGAGGAATGTGAGGCCCAAATAAGTTAACAGACAGTATTTATCTTTTAATAACAATCTTTATCATTGATTTGAAACTGTTTGACTTCCATTAATATTGCACATGTATTAATAAGATGTCATTTTTCATAGACCATCTAACAGTTAAGTTATATAAATCTATGATTGTAATTCAGAACCAGAGTTTCTAATGAAAACTAAGAATTTGCTTTTGCACAACCTGAAAGATTTACTGTATAGGATGTCCAGGAAAAACTGAGAATATGTTTAATTAGAATTTCAGAATGAAACTTATAGGATCTGGCTCTTACTGAAACAAATCCTCTAAAATTCAGCAGTCTTCTTATATAAGTCTTAAAGTATTTCTAGTATTATGCTCTTTAAAGTATCTAGTGGTACTGAGAACATTTATAGAAGTTGCAAAGCCTAAAAAAATGGAATCATAGTATTTATTATATACCTTGTTTTGCATAATTTATAGGATAATCAAGGTTTCAAGACCCAAACCATGACTATGCTGACACTCTTCTCTAGATAGTGACTGAGATTAATTCTTAATAAATTAAGAAGAAAGAAAACCTGGCTGGGTTGAAAATATGCAGTGTAGGAATCTGATCTGGGAACTAAAAATAAGTCACTTCACAGAACACTGTACCCTGATGTGATATCCACCCAGGGAAAATTAATGAGCACATCAATGTAATACATTCTGAATAAATAACGACATCAACAATAGCCACTTTGTCTAATCCTATCCCTAAATGTCAAACATTTTGTCATATTACTACATGACTTCCCAGTGTCCGCTACTCGTGCAGGGGAATCTGTATATATTTGCACATAATCCAGTTAAAATGGTCTGATTGAATTGTAAACAGAGTTGATAAAAGAGAAGCTTACTGTTGTAGTGCCTAATAAGAATATCGCTTACATGTTAAAGTATACAGTATGTAGCAGCAATTTAAAATGCTCAGTAAACTACAGTACAAATGGACTTCTATGCTATATGGCAAACCAACATTCTCTTAATATCTCTATATCAGAGTGACACATATAAGGAAGTTACTTGACCAATTACTTTACATATTGCCAGTTTATTTCTTTGATCCAGTTTGACAATATCAACATAATTGATTCCTGAACTGATATGATATGTACTCAATGGCAATTTTTCTTTCAATTCTTCTGGTTCACACAGAGGAGGTTCTTTGTTGGTGCCTTCCTAACAACAGCTCATAGCTGGAATTTACATTTTTACCATACCATTAGGATGCAGTGCTAAGGATTGAAAATAAATGCTGGCAGCTGGAGACACTTTTCCCCCTTCTGTCTGCCATTTACCTGCATGTAACTCAGGATACCTAACTGATCAAGGGTGAGTGTTGCTATGAATTAAAGGTAACACAGTACAAAGAAGCCTATCTGTCTTTCCAAGGTGATGAAAGTATTTAGGGAGATTTCCAGTTAATAACCTCTTGTTTGAAAGATACTCAGTACTTTCTCTTTAGAGCATATTTTCAGTAGCTCACTGGAAATAATGGGTTCTTATTTCAGGCAAGAAATTTACTGTCACTGTTTGCCTTGACATCACATCACTTTCAGACCCGTGATATGAATCCCAGGCCCAGGCTGGCTGGAATTTGGATGGTTTCTAGTGCGAGGGAGGATGGGTTAAAAGGAAAGGTGACAGGAAAGATGTGTTTAGCATCCATGAGCAGCTGAGGAGAGTCTTTCCTGTCTCGTAAACGCATCTGAGATTTAAAAACAAAAAACAGAACATCAGTTCTTTGAACCTACAAATATTTTTTTCCCACCAAAAATCTACCAAAAAGTCTTCAACTGCTAAAGAATGTTTATATTTGTTTTAAAATCACTGCATTTTTTCTAATAATCTGTTACCAAAAGTTAATGCACTGTCAGAATGAGATAATACAATAACAAAACCACACTTTCCTTCAATAAACTGTAAATTTCCATTCAAAAGACTGTATTGGTGAATCAAAGGAAAAGAAAGCCTGGGAGATCTTACCTGTATAGTACGAATAAATGATACAGAGACTCTTTCTTCAAACTCATTAACTGGAGTATACAAATTCAACACTTTGACAATCTGCGAGAAATGAAATGATCAAAGTTTTCAGCATATAACCAAATATACACTGGGTGCTGATAATCTGGGAAACTAAAAGGATCTGTGCATACAGTTTATAATTCTACTCAGGGCTGGGTTGGGATGAGGGAAGAGGGAGCTAGTCTAAAGGGCACATTTACCTTTACTATGTGAATTTTTAAAATAAGAATGTATTAATGTATTATCTGTACTTTTAAGAAGAAATATAAATCTGGAAAAACAATCAAACTATACAAAAGAACACAACATGAAAAGGAAAAGTGTCTCACTCAATCTTCCCAGTCTACCCAAATGGCAACTTTTAACAGTGTCCCTAGTTTCCATCTAGCTGCTCTCTATACATATTCTATGTATAGTTTGTGAAGATGTCTACGTTATGAGATGCGTAAAGAACATTAAGAAAGCCCAAGAGTCAGCATAGAAATAACTGGAAAAAGAAAAATGGGTAAGGTTTATGCCTATTTCTTGCCTCGTGCTGTTGCCACTGTCCTCAAATGTCCTTCTCACTTCCTTAAATTCAATACCCAGCTTAATGGAGCCTTCCTCGAACACAGTGACTGCCCCTTGGCACTTCCTTTAGACATCTTACTATAGAACTTGCTAGAACCTCTTATAGTAGAATCAGTTAGGTACATCTGCCTTGTCTACTAAACTGGAAATTCTTTTTAGCCAAGGATTGTTTCTTATTTTTTGAAGCATCTCCCCCAGCAACAGGTATGGTACCTCAAGATAGGAGCTCAATTAGTCATTTATTGAAATAAAGGAATAAGAATAATCTGTCTTAAAATAGAGAAGTCTAAAATATCATTCAATTATCAAATAGTATGGAAAATTACTTTTTGGAATACAGGTTCCATAGAATGCAGACAATGTACATCCCATGAGAGCAGGGACACTGTTTTGTTCTTGGTTGTATCTCAGTGCCTGGGACATTATGCAGAACACTATACACACTGAATAAATATTTACTGAGAGGCGCCTGGGTGGCTCAGTCAGTTAAGCATCAACTCTTGATTTTTGACTTAGGTCATGATCTCACGGTTCATGAGCCCTGTCTTGGGCTCTGTGCTGACAGTGTGAAGCCTGCTTGGGATTCTCTCTCTCTCTCCCTCAGAATAAATAAATAAACATTAAAAAATAAATAAATATTTATTAAATGTTGACTGTGGATGACTGAGTTGCTAGTAAAGTCTCCTTTAAGACCTGTATAGGTATATGTCTTCTCTGACACACATGAAGTCAGCTCAGAGACCAGAGCAATGGCTAGGAGACCTCCTCACTTCCCTGAGCAGCACCCGTGAGGAGTGCTACCTTACCACACAGCAGGGCAAAGTGTTTTACCTGGGCAGTAGTTAAAGCACTGCACATGGAACAGATGGCTTCTGCGTCATCATCTGTCTTCTTTTTCACTTGCAAAAGCTGTGCAGCCTGAATGAGAGGTTCCAGGGTTTCTTTAGCCCCACTGTTCATCAGATTCTTGTCACGCAGCCACTCTTCCAGTTGACTGACATTGTACCTGTGCCAAAAAAACAGAGAGGGAGAGAATGCAAATTCACCGAATGTTATCATAAATGTCTTAATTTTTTATGTATGGCTTTGTCAGGAATTTCAGTTAAAATGACAGCCAGTATTTTTGTTCAATTTTCTTAAATCTTACCAGTGCTTAAAATTTTATTATAGCCATAAGGTTTATAATCATAATTATATAAGAGTAAGTGACTAGAGAATATAATTAACTTCAATGGAAGGTAGAAATATAGCCATTACAGCAAAAGTTATGAAATATGACTTGCTGAAAGACAAAATAGAACACACAATATGGCTGTGTCCTTATTAAACAGCTGACCGGAAAACACTTTCTAGCTTCTCTTACAATTTCAGAGGGTAGAATCAATAACCTCTGAGTATCCATTCCTCTTTATTACAGGTTAAATTCCAAGTTAGTCAAGAAAAACAAGATCCTTCCACACAGCCCTTGTGCTCCAGCTCTGTTTAGGGAAGAGCCTGGGTGATAGGGTAGTGGCCTGAGGAAGCTCAGGGATGGAAGGACAGCAGGGTAAGTGGGGGCCGCTGGAAGAGACGAAGACTCCAAATATGGAGAGAGACATGGAAACTGCAGAGACGCCAAGGTTACAAGAGGTGGTCAACCAAGTGACAGTGGTTTTCATACTAAAATGCTAAAGGGACGCATGAGCAGCACTGCACAATCAGGCAAATAGGAGACCGCATGTTATTACGATGGTGCTTCACATGTATAAACAAAGCTTACAGAGAAATAAATCCTACTACTTGAGTGGGAGGCATTATCTTTCTAACATTAACTACAATGGCTGTGCGTCAGAATAGAAAATTTGAAAAGAATGCCAAGGTTTCCTGAGATTAACTTTTGTAAGAGAAATCCTTTTTCCCTCTCTTGGCAAATATTCTATTTTAAAATAAATGATTTGCAAAAAAAAAATCAATTCTATTATGAGTATGAGGTTATGTGGTGGAGTAGTTGGGCATAAAACTGAGTGCACATTTTCTTAAGAGATGAGGGGCATATTTGAAGTTAGTAACAGATCTATTAGACACGTTCTTGTTACCATGGTACAAAAAGGTGTTTTGTCAAAATAACTTTCTAAGAGAAGTCAAGCATCAGAAATCTTCATTATAAAGAATTAGCTATTTTGTTATGTACAATTAAAATACATGCAAACGGCGAGGAAGCAGCTATCTCAACTGTAAGAATTTTGCATCATCTTCTCTCCATTCCCTCAAACAAATTAGCGTCACAGTGGAGCGGGGTTCCCAACTAGTGGTGGGTAGAGCCTGCTGAAAGGCACAGTCAGGAGCGGTAATGAATGAAAGTGGAGAAGCCCAGCCAGCCAAGAGAAAGCAGCTCCATGTCCGGTCCTCCCGTGCTGCCCGGCTGGCGGTAGCAGACATTGGGTGCACTGACCTCAAACAAGCCATCAGCTTTGGTGTTCGCTCACCTGATCTGCATGCCTTTACTCCAGGAGCACATGTCCTTCCGCAGAAGGAGGTTGTTCAGGGTGATGGCCCCAACAATGTAGAACATCTGTTTGACCACCTGCTTGATCAGTTCAGGGTCCATGCCGTGCTGACACATGACTGAATGGAAGGAGTTGAGCTGCCGGAGGATGGAGTCCAGTGTATAGGTGCCCTCGTCAGCGATGCTGGAGGTTCGCTTTCTTAGCCCTGTGGGCTTCACCCCAGACACGCCCTGAATGGTTTCATGCTCCAGCATGCCAGAGACTGCGGGAGTAGTTCAAGTGTTAGAAGAGAAGATGCGTGTTCCACGTGCATACACGCATGCTCACACATGCTCTCACACATTCAATTGAGGAAGATCATCTGAGTATCAAAACAGAGGGAGAAGGAACTTCCCAAAAAGAGGGCTTCCAGATTTTCAACTTTAATGAAGGAATAATTCTTAAATGCGAAAATTTACCATGAAACTAAGAAATCGTAATGGTGTATTTTCAAAAATAGGAAGCAGCAACCTTATAACAACACAAGTGTGTGATATCTTGGGAGGGTTTTTGAGAAAGATGTAGCAGTTAGGGAGAAGATAAGATATTCTCCAGGGATATCTGAACCCCACAGGCAAACAAATTAAGTAGCAAGTACAAGAGGAGATTGGGCAGTGGTTGTGGAGAAGCCTTGAGAGGGGATGGTCGTGTGGGGCTGGAGAACTGGGCCATTCCTTGCCCTGAACTTTCCACAGTGGCAGAGAGGCCCCGGGGTTAGCCTCAGCCTCCCAGAACTCAGTTTTCTCGAATCTGGGGCACTGCTGCTCCCTCCACTGTGCCCTCACAGTGTTTGGCTTATGCCCCCTCGAGGATGGTTGTGGGATGACCACCGCTTGGACTGACAGCACCTTGACAGCAGGGGCCATTCCCGATTCAGTTTTTACATCTCCTATTCATTTACATCTCACAGTGCTAAACGTGGCTTCCATAGCACCTGACAATGACACAAAACACTGGTGGTTATTATAACATCACTGGGAGATGGGGAAAGCAGTTTAAAGGGGGGCATCTTGGAGGTAAACTTATTTAGCCAATAAAAATAGGCAAAAATAGAAGAAATATTGGCTGAAGTTGACCTCTGTGTCCGTGTCACCTCTTACATTGTAGTTGACCTAGGTCGCTTTGAACACAACCTTTAGGGGACAACTGAAGAACTGATGACTGAAGTTGTCCCATGAAGAAATCACTGCTATCTCCCATGACCTCCTCAGCCTTTTTGGTTTCTAGTTGGTTAATTGTGGGCCTATGATGGAAGACAGAATACTAAAGGCAATGAAGAAGTTGTGGAAATGTGGGAAACACACAGGTAGGAAAAGAAAGTGTAGCTGGGAGTAGCCTTAAGAAGGTGTTGCTGATTTCCCTGAAGATAACAGAGTTTGATAACTTAATACAAATTTAATTCAATGTATTCAAAACTAGCATCCTGCAATTTATATATGCCTCCTAATTCCTATTTCATGAATGCTACCCATTCCAAAGGAATAGAGGTAGTATAGTACATAAATACACAGAGTGAGCATACGCATATAAAAGAGAAATATGTGGACTCACACACCTAGCTGAATACACATATATAGAAACACACACACGTGCACACCCCAGTCACTCATCCACTGAGAAAATGCTACTTTAAACCAAATTGCCTTTAACAATTCCGTAGGGGCCACAAGATGAACAACCCACCGTGGAGTGTCTGACACCTATTCTTGTTGCTGTGGTACCCCGCAGCCCTTTTACTGTAGCCTAATAGGCAAAGTGCAAACTCTCCCCAGCCTCCTTAGTCTTAGATGGGCCCTGAGGAGGCTCAGTGTAGCAGTGTCCTGGACCAGAGTTTAAAGTTTTAATTTTTGAAAACTGGACAAGGTATGAGGTATATTGATGGGTATACAGCATAACCCGGTCTTAAGGGAGAGGACTCACACAGTGGGGAGATTAACTAGATACTGCCATTTCGATCATATGGAAGCAGTGATTCTGATGTATCCCAGTTAGTCACGGCTGGGGTTCTGGGATTCCTCAGCTAATTTCAGGACTGGGTCTTACTACTTTATGTTCTTTGTATGAAGAAACAAATGCCACTGGTGGGCACATGAGGTAGACAGACCTCGATGTCAGCAATGCTCTCGCCTTACCGATCATTGGCTGAAGGATGTTCTCTAACACCCGCACGAGCTGCTGGTAGATCTGAATGGCTAAGTCACTTAGCACCTGCCGGTACTCAGCCAGGTCAAAGTTGGTGAGGCAGTGTTCATTCTGGCGAGACGTGTTGTGTTTCATAAAGCCCTAGAGCCATAAAGCAGAGTTACTGACACCTGTGAAATAAAAGCTCTCTTCTAACTCCCTCGTTTGATCAGACGTCTCCTGCTGTCTTTCCTCTGAAGAGTTTCCTGTCTGCTCTGCTCTTGAATGCCAGACAGTCATTCTCAAATGCTGGTGTTTGTTTCCATCATATTCCCCTTCCACTTCTTACTAGCTTTTGAATTGTATCTAAAGTTGGCAAGCTAGCATTCAGTGAAACAAGATGGGGGAACTTAGTTTAAAAAAAAAAATTAATGAGTGTTTTCACTTATGAAGCAGCAGGTTTACTGCCAAACAGTAAATTATCTAAAGCACTAATCTCTTAACTTCCTATTTATAAATATTGTACCTGAAGGGCATACATCATCTTAAACTAGACTGGCTTCTACAGAGATTGGTGAATAAAAAAAAAATTTCCCTTCATTATATTTCATTGTAACCATACATGATTTTCAATCCAAGCTTAGAATGGAATCTTTTGGTGGTATGAGCTAAAATGGGAAGCCAACTGTACAGGCAGGTACTTTTGTCAGACGTTGCCTGACAAAAGGCAATTGCCTGTTTGATGGATTCTGCACATAATCAAGCATGTGCCTCCCTAAAACTACCTAACAACATGGTCAGAAGTGGGGACTGACAGGACAGTTAATGGCCCCTCGGGGGGATTCTAGTCTATCTGTCCCACCTACTCAGGGAGCACGTCTTACTCATATTGATATTTTCCGTCATTTGCCGGGATAGTCCCCTGCTGCTAGCCTCTTGGTGCCCAGAAAATGCTACCGCTCAGCTTCTCTGGCTGCTCTCCCAGCACAAGGTGGAGGTATGGAGGGCAGTGGTTAGGGGCACAGGCTCTTGGAGGTGAGCAGACCTAGAATTCTAGCACTGCTCCTTATGGCTAAGAGAACCTGGGCAAAATGATGAACTTCATCGAACTTCAGTTTCCTCATCTGTAAAACTGGGTTATAATCCCTACCTTACAGAGATGTTGCAAGAATTAAGTAACATAGAGTAAGTACTATCTGATATATACTGAGCAGACCTTAATAAAGAGTAATTATTAATAGATTACAGTATTGAAATATTAGTTTTGAAGTCTAGTAAACACCTGATGAACATATCACTACAAATAAAAGCAAAACAGGTTTTGGGACCAGTCTAGAGAGACATGCCTTAGCTTGATCACCTTTCATGCATTTGGAAAGCCCAAATCGATGAATTTCTTTAAATAGTTCTATATTTCTCATATCAGTCCTTGAAAAGCCCACTTCCACATGCTGACAAGAGGTTTCACTGCTGGTAACAATTCATCGACAAATGCTCATTTTATTTCTGCTATGCTTCATCAAAATACAAACTCTCAGAGGGAAGAAACTATGTCACCGTCTAAATCACTGTTTCATAAACAATGAACATCAAACAAAGCTACAGCATCCAAGCCACCTCCGAACTCAGGCTTCTAAATTAATGGCTAAACGTTTTGTGCTTTTCAATTTTTCCCTAAAAAGTTCACAAAGTATATCACACTGGTGTTTTAATGAAGGTTTTCTCACCTCTTCTCCACTGTACTGCTTCAAACAGTGCAAAAATCGGCATGTGTTAGAGAGCCAGAAGGAGACGGTTTCAAAATCATCACCTCTTTTCTGAAAGAGAGAAAAAGGCTAAATTCACTTTTCCTTAGGGAAATAACAACCTGAAGGAAACTGAACAGATACCAGAAGGCCTCAGTTAAATTATAAAGAATTACAAAAATAAATCACATTGCAAAGTCTTACATCATTGCTAGAAAATTTCAACCGAGTTTGTTGGTTGGTTGTTACTTTGCTTGGCATCTAGTTTCTTGCCATTAGAAAAGGATGCCCAGTCACTCAGTTGATGTCAGTTTAATGGTCCCTTTCAGCAGAAAAAAATTCATCAAGCCACAGCTTACCCCAACTCACTTCCTTCAGGATTACTAAGGGGATCAGAGAGGACTAAAAGCATAAAAGGGAATCACAGACTATGAAACGCTGAAAGCCGGATTAGGTTACAAATCAGGTCAACAGTAAGATACAATTCCTGAGCAGAGAATCAGAAATGGGATGAAGGAAGTCCTGTGCAGAAAAGGAGACAGGGGAAGCTGAATAGCTCTTCATCAGGACTGGGGCACATGTCAAACAACCAGTTGCTAAATCAAAACAGGGACTCAAGGGGCGCCTGGGTGGCGCAGTCGGTTAAGCATCCGACTTCAGCCAGGTCACGATCTCGCGGTCCGGGAGTTCGAGCCCCGCGTCAGGCTCTGGGCTGATGGCTCAGAGCCTGGAGCCTGTTTCCGATTCTGTGTCTCCCTGTCTCTCTGCCCCTCGCCCGTTCATGCTCTGTCTCTCTCTGTCCCAAAAATAAATAAACGTTGAAAAAAAAAAAAAAACAGGGACTCAAGGCAAATACACTTCAATTCAAAACTGGGATGTGAGACAAGCTCACATCAATTTTAAACGGTATTGAAAGGGTGTTATATTCTAGTACCCATCCCTTTTTAATTTTCAAACAATTTGATATAAAAATTAGTTAAATTAGAAAAATGTCTTCTTGCAATTAAGATGAGAGGGAGAAAACGCTTTGGTTTTGTGGTCTTTGCAGGAGCTGACTTACAAATTAGTAAAACTTGCAGGCTAAGTGCAATATAGCATCAATACACCAAAAATGAAATGAGTTATATCAGAAGACAGTCATCAATTTTTAAACGTTAAATCTTCAGAAACCCCATGTTTTAGTAACCACCATAAAGCTAACTGCATAGCATATCTGCACAGCAGGGATGGAGAATCAGCATTTGTCAAAGGTTCACTAGCAGGGACTGCAGGGAGGGTGTGTTCAATGGGGACAGAACTTCAGTTGTAGGGGTATGAAAAAGTTCTGGAGGTGGACAGTGACAGGGTTGGCACAACAATGTGAATATGCTAACGGCACAGAACTAAGCACTGAAAAATGGTTATGCGGTAAATTTTATGTTATATATATTTTACCATAATTTAAAAAATAGTGCATTAAAGACATCTTAGATTTGAAAGCATCCACTGGGCATGTTAACTACCTACTTATCTCCATCCTAAAAGTTCTCATCTAACTTCAGTTAGATAACCAGAAAGCAAAGTGCTTGGAGAACATTTTCTTAGCTCCTCATAGAAACACGTGAGGTAAAACTAAGTATAATGTTCATTGTTTTTCTAGAGAGGCAAGAGGAGTATTATGCAAGGTGACTCAGTGACTACTGAGTTATGTAGGGCTTTCTACTCTATTACATAATTCTGCTGCCGTTCCCAAATCTTTCCTCTCTGTTAGTATCTATGTGTTGCTTCTCACATGGAACCAGGCATTTCAGGTAACAAGGAAAATTATGGGGTGAGTTGGAGAATAAGAGGAAGAAAAGTTGGAAGAAAAATTATAATGTTTTATCAGACATCTTTTTATATGAATGAAACATATGGTATTCAACTTATTTAATACCTTTCTAACTAGAGCAACATACTTCCTAGATATATGGATCACACTAAGTATTTTTAATTTACTTTTAAGACCTCAAAGCAGACTATTTCCATTTATGGAGAAACTTAATTTACTCTGCACTTAGGTACATTTATATCAAATTAATTTTGATTACTGTTCAACCTGAGCCCCAGTGTAAAAGAAGGCATACAGACGTGTTGCAAGAAAGAATGCTTCCTATAGTGGAAGTTATCAGTGAAGACTGCAAAGTGTCATATCTGGCAACTTAGCTCCAGCTTAAGGAAGGAAAAGTAACTTGGGGCAGATTCTGTCATCATTAAGATTAATTATGAGAATTTTGTTGAACATGAACTGACCTTTAATACTTTTTTGATGCTGTTAATTGTTGATGTTAGCAATGACCTTACTTTCTGATCATCATTCAGGTAGTCAGCATGTCGAACACACATAAACAGGATATACGCTGGTAACCCTGGAATCAAATTGACTGCCACACCACGTGGCTTCAGTTCTGAAAGGAAATGAGGAAAAATAATCTTATATAACACTGAAAGTCTTCATGAGGAATGTTTTGTAAGATACAAAAGCACAGTTCTTGTGAAAGAATTCAATCATTCAGGGCTAAGAGGTCACACTAAAAAAAGAAGCATTTTAATAGCTCATTAAGTAGAGAAATTTTGAGTCTTAGTTGGGACGTATGAATCTTAGTTGTCTATATAATGACAACTCCCAAGTTTATATCTCTTGCCCTGACTTTTCCCTTGAATTCCAATTTAATGTATCAACTGCCTTCTTAACACCTCTGCTCAGGCACATCGAACTGAGTCCATTCCAAACCAAACCCTTTGGAACCTGCTCTCCCAGGAGCTGTCCCCTTCTCAGTTAAATGGCAGTTCCAGACTTCTGGTTTCTCAAATCATGAGCTTAGTCAGCATCTTTGACTCATTGTTTTCTCACACCACACATCTAATCCAGTAATAAGTCCTATTGGCTCTACCTAGAAAACCCATTCAGAATCCAATTACTTACTCTACTGGCCATCCTAGAATAGACTATGCTCTTCTCCTGGACTGTAGTGATGGCTTCCAGACTAGTTTCCCTGATTCATCCGCTGCTCCCTAATAGTACATTTTTCACACAACAACCAGAGTGACTCTATACAAAGATGTAGGTCAGATCCTGTCACTCTTGTCCTGAAAATCTTCCAAGTTACTTCTCATCCATTTATAAAACAAAAAATCTTCACTATGGTCAGTGTGATCTGGCCCTGTTCCCTTCCCCAGCTCACAATGAATCTCCTTGTTGTTGGTTGAATATGCCAGGCATGCTACCACTCCAGGGACTATGTACTTACTATTTTCTGCCTGGAATGTTCTTTCCTCAGATATCAGGATGATTTGCCTCCTTACCTCCTTTGATCTCTGTTCAAAGATCACCTTATTGAAGACAACTTTCTGGACAGTCTTATATAAACTAATACATTTGCCTTTACTCTTTATCCTTTTCCCCATTATATGTCTATTTTTTCTCTGTTCCCCACCATCCCCCAATGTAAGATCTATGAGAATAGGGACTTTATTTTCGTTCAGTATCCAGTACCTAGAAAATACTTAGCATGTGGTAGGAGCTCACTAAATGTTATTGAACTGATGAATCTTTGTTAACTCTATGCTTAAAAACCAGTGGCTTCTAAACATTTTTGCTAAATAAAGATCATGCTGAAACTTAACTGCCTCTGCACCTATATATAGCACTCATGCCATGAACCCTGGGAACATTAAATCAAGTATAATTGCCAATCACATTACTGTCACCCCACACCTGCGGGGAGGAATGCTATGCAAAAGCTGAGAAGAGAGGTTTTTTCCCTTTTTCAGTTCACAACTTTCAGGCTGTGTGCACTCCCTACTCACTTCCCACTGTCCCCTAAAGAGTCTTCTTGCAGAGCCAGGGGGCTTACACACAATCTTAACCCTATGCTGCTCTGAAATGCTTCCTTCATGTCCATTTCATTTGTTCAGTCCTCTCCTTCCATTGCTGGGATCTTTTCCCTAATTCTTTTGTTTCTTCTCTTTTACCAAACTGTTGTTCTTGACATATTTAGTTGTCAAAGGAAGCAAGGAAAAAATGAGATTCAGGAAGTTCAGTGGCTGAGACCAGTGGGTGTTCAACTGTGGCTTACACTTCAGAATCCTTTGAAAGATTGAAAAACATATACCAGACATGGTCAGGCTCTTCCCTCTAGAGATTTTGATGTAATTAGTCTGTGGTGGGGACTGTACATTAATACTTCTCAAAAGCTTCCCCAGATAATCTAATCTTCAGCCAGAGCTGAGAAGCCCGGGCCTCAAAGGATCCTGATAGGTCGATTCCAGACCAGTCTCCCTGCAGGTTGACTGCAGCATGACGTGGTCAGGATGCTGCTGCAGCAGGATCACGCACAGTATGCAGTGATGACTAAAGAAACCAGCGTTGAATATTTCAAACATTAGTGACTAGTCTTTCCCACTGCCGACGCATGTACCAGAAAGACCTTTTATCCCATGCAGAAAATACTTGCCCAGAATCAGGTTCTTAACAAGCTTTTGCTCATCCTCCTTCTTGTATTCCAGCATTCCTTGGAAATCCTTTTCTTTCCTAGGAATATTGACTGGACGGATGGGTTCATCAATGATCTGTCCTGGGGATATGTTCTCCATTTGGCCCACTTCATGAGAAACAAAAAGGAGAAGAAAATATTTTCCAGGTAGAAAAGATAAGAGGGTTCCATAGCCCAATAATTTTAAACGAACTCTATAACAACAGAAGCTTGTCATATTTGCCACTTACTTGTTCCCTCTTTAAATACCTTTTTCTGCTAAAATTGAGTGGACACTTGGCAAAATTATATGGTGATGTCACCCTAACATCCACTAATGCTTGGCTACTATCAATATCAAAGAACCTTACTTGATTTAAAAACATTTTTTTTTTTTTTTGGTAATAAAATTTACTTTGTAGTAAGATTAAATGTCCCTGAAGTAAGTGGTTTAACTTCTTGGTTAATTAATCAGTACCATCATAATGGTTAACTATACTTAAGCTTTAATCACAGAAGAAAAAATATAATATTCTAGGAAGAAGCAGCAAGAGTATTAAAGATTCCCTGTCACATTTAGCTCTATGAATCCAGTCATCAAAGAAAAAGAACACTTACTTTCACTGTATAATTGCAATCAGTTCAAACCACATCAAGATAAATGGCAGAATAGTGTTTGTTCACACTAGTTGATGTGAAATGTATCATTTTTCACAAAGGCCTTATAAGGCAAAGCACTAACTTTTTCCTACTACCCCTCATCCGCAAAGAAATCATGAGCAGATAAAACACTTCTATTTAATATGATTTCCTAAATATTATTCTGGTTTTTGCTTGTTTGTAATCAAGTGCTAAACGTCTTAAGTTGTAACCATTTAAAGTATAACCACTGGTTAACAACCCTTTTAGATGTTAAAAATGGTCACTATTGTTAATGGCAGGTGCTAGAGAAGGATTATGCTAAGTATTAAAAAAAAAAGTCTTCAATTTCATCTCAAAATTGAGAAATAAATGAGAAATGCAAGGGAAGAAAAGGAAACACAGAGTCATGGTGGTGTTTGTGGAAGTATGTGCTAATAAGCAGGTTTTTCTTCTTTTATCTATAGGGAGGGGGCAGTTAAGAAATCTCTTTAGGCATAGATTGAGTTGAACCTGGTGTCAAAAATGCAGCTTAGAAGCATTAGAAAATTTAATGTTGCTGATTCTACAAGGTATCAGTAGAGCTTCCCCTGTCACCCTGGGCAACTTCCTATGTTAGTTCTGGCAAGCCAGCTCCACAGGACAAGGTTATCACAGAGAACACCAGTACCTGCCAGTGTTCTGGCTTAAGTGGCAGGGAGCCAGCCTAGTGACACTCCGTCCACCTCATGCTGCAGCATCACACACCGGGATTACCAGCGCTGACAATCACCACCGTCCATCACCACTATGATATCTAAAGAGTGATCATATCGTGATTGGACAAGTCAGGACTGGGATATCTAGTGTTTCATATGCATGGTAAACTGTATGTCTCTATGCAGGAGACAGGAGATTCAAGCTATTTAGTTTTACACAAATTACTTCTGGAGTCAGTTTAAACACAGCACCATGAAGAACTCAGGATCAGCATACAGCGGGCTTCACAGCTTATACATATGCTGCATGTAAGGTACAAAAGAGTAAAACCCCTGCCATCTGTGTTACTAGATGCTTTGAGGCATAGAAACAATTCTGAGAGAGGACACAGAGGAAACAGATTCAATATATTATATGTTTATCAGTAAAGGTACATGTTTGGACCCTATGTAATCCAAAAAGAATGTTTTAAACCTACTGATTTCATCCATTGATGATGAGATATACCATTATTTTATATAACACTGAAGAAGGAAAAACACTGCCAATTAAACTACAACCCATCAACAATTTTTGAAAGACGCAACCAAATTTGAGATGTTAAAATGTAAAAATTTGTATATCTCAGAATTTATGAAATACAGTAAATATTTTTATTAGATTTCATGTTTTAAAAGAAAGCTTCACTTTCCTTTTGCAAAACGTCTAACCAAGATATTTTTGGTTCTGTACAAAAATGTCAGAGACAAAATTTGCCATATTTTCATTAAAAGTTTCTCTCTGCCTTTGAATTCTCCTCAGAGATTTGAGTCTTTATAAAAATGCATAGATAAAATATAGATGTAAGCTCAACACAAACTTGATTTATTTAGCAAGCTATCTTCTAATTAAAATAAAATGTCAAGCTTTATCTAGCATCAGGAAAATATAAGGCCACAAAGAATAAAGCCAGGACGACATCCCAGTTTTCAAAGACTCAAAAGATCTTGGGGTTGTTTGGTCCAATGTTTCATCTAATACAGACTTTCTTCTAGAAAGACCTGAAGCGATCTCTATTTTCTATTTTCTAGATTCGTTATACTTGAGGGATAAAATATTCTGAACCTTTTTGTCCTGGAAAAGGAAAGGAAATTGCATAATTTTTTAAAAGTTAAATTTTCCCCACTTTGGTACCAGAAATATCTTGATTTCAGGCTTAATAGAGACAGTCAAATAAATTCCTACAAGAAGAGAGGTTGTGTTGGAAAATATGACACAAAGGGAGAGTTAAGTGTTCCTGGAAAGCTTGGGTTCTAGTTTCAGTTTGGCTACTAACTGCCGAGACCTTGGCAGTCACTTACAGTTTCTGGACCTCCGTTTTTTACTCCCATGAAATAATTAACTGATTTCCAGAATTCTTTTAGGTATAAATTCCCTGACTCCATGAAAATTGAGATGGAACACCCACTACTGGATTAAAATACAGCACAAAGCACATCAAATTTTGAAACACTCTCAATTTAGCTATATCAAATTATATATGTTGGCGTTTTTAAAAAAAGCCACACTGGCTTCTAAAAAAGTCTCCTTAATTAAGGGTAGCCCATAGGAGGAGACAAGAGTCTTGCTATTTTAAACCAGAAGAATTTAAGTATATTATATTTAGAGAAAAATATAAGAAAACTTTTAGTTTTTAAAAGATGCTTTGTTGTAGAAAGTTGCCTGTATTTTCTGTATAATGGGAGATTAGGAGATATGAAAAGTATTAGAAGAGCTTGCTACCTTTATTCTCTAATTTGGGGCGGGGGGGAGGGACACTGCACTCAGCACGTGTCCAAGTCACACACATCTATTTTGTTTTATTCTTTAGATACATATCATTTAACTCGAAATATAACTTTTCTGAAGAAATGATGTCTTTGTTTAATCTATGAAGTGTTTCTCAAATGCTACTTATAGGTTTGAGAACATAGCTGGCAAGATAGTTTCATTGATGAGATTGATTTCTGATTGATAATGGCTTAAAATTTCTGACTTCTTGAGGTATTCTAACCTATCTCAATTTAAAGTATACATAACAAAAAAAGCTGAGTAAAAACTTAAAATAATAAGTGGCTTTGTTATTTATGAAATTTTACTAATGTATTGCAAAGAAATCATTAGAAGTTGAAAAAACTAATCAGCTAGTTAATATCCTTAAAATCAGTTCTTTCAGGCACTCTGCTAATTATCATCTCATGATATAATTAAAGCAGAATTAAGTGCAGAAAGGTTTTCCAAATAAAGATTTTTTAAAGTTCTGTCGACAGACATTACAGTCCACATGTGTGTGTGATTTGGAGGCTCAAAGTTTTAATGTAACATATGAATCATGTAATGCTACATGATTATAAATAAATTTTGACTCCAAAGTAATCTATATGGTTTCTAAATAAATATTTCAACATTCGTATACCCAAAGAGTATTATCCTCTTCAAAGTGAACACCTATGTTGCCATTCTAAATATTTCTGGAACTTATTTATTTGTTCAACAAACACTGAAGGAATGATTATTGTGGGTCAGACACTATGCTCAATGCTGTGAAAACAAGGAGAAATAAGAAGTGGTCCCTATGCTGAGGAAGCTCATGGCCATTGAGGAAGCCAGTGATTCAAACAGAAAAACTGCTAGAAGTATGACTGTGAAAACCACAAAAAATGTGAGCCATCGTGGTACACAGAGGGCAGAGCCATAAAGCCTGCCTGCATGATCAGGAGAGGCTGCGCTTGGGGATGTGACTCTGGTCTCAAAGGATGAGCAGGACTTGAGCAAGAGAAGATGGAAGACCAAACAGAAAGGACAGTCAGGACAGACCTGGAATGCTGAAAGAAGGAAAACCACACAGAGTTAACATGGTAGACTCTTCTGAGCATTCCCAGTGTTGGGGGCTCTTCATCCTTTGAGCCAAGCAAACACTATGCAGAGTGACACCGAGAGAACAGATGGGTAGTCAGACTGCACAGTATCATTTCTGGTCAAAATCACATAGGTTTGAAGACAATTCCAAAGAGGGTCTCTAAATCTCTTGAACAACAAGAACATTGTTAGAATATGCTTAGAACCTGGCTTTACCTCCATTTACTGCTATATCCCTGGCACCTAGATACATACCTAGGGAAGGAACAAGCATACTGATCCAAAAGACAAGATTCATTTGTATATAATAACTGATATTTGATCATTTTTTCAAGGTGTTTTCCCATCGTCATATACAAACCATGAAACGCTTAAAGAAATTTTCTTTATAATCATAATTCATTTTTCCTTATTTACTTCTCTTATTTTCTCTATTAGATTCTTTGAAGATGCAGACTTAATTTTACTCATCTTAGTTTCCCTAATACTAGAAGTTAACAGTAAAAATAATAATGAAGTTGTATATAGCATTTACTATGTGTCAGGAAATACACTAAATACATTATACACATTAATTATTTCATCTTCACAAACTGTCAGATAGATGCCATGATAATTCCCATGTAACAAGTGGGGAAACTGAGGCATAGAGAGGTTCAATAACTTGCCCGACATCAGAGGACTAATAAAAGAGCTGGGAGTTGAAGCCAAGAAGCTTGGCTATAGAATCCATGCGCTTAACCTCTGTTATACTGCCAAGCACAGTGTCTGGCACAAAGAATACAGTCATTAGATGCTTGTTGAATGAATTCTCTCTCTTCTCACAAATTACTACTACCATGAAAAGAACATTTTTCCCTACCTAGCGATGGAAATTTCCACTCCACAGAGGCCAAGTTTGCTGGTCTAATACCATCCTTAATAACTGCATGCAAACCTGTTAGACCACTAGTATAACAAACATAAAATCAAGATTTGGCAACTGTTATAAAATCATGTTTAAATACCTTCTAGTTCACCAATTTTTTTGGCAAATACTTTCAGTTGTTTTTTCAGTTTTCGAACAGTCTTGTCTTGTTTTTCAAGTTGCTCCATCAAATCCTAAAGATTAAAATGAGAAATATAACAGAAAAATCAAAATGGGCCTTCGAAAAGGCAGAGAAGGAAAGCAGACACAAAATCACAGGAATAGCACTGTTAGTTTTACATAAAAGCTCCAGAAAAGCTCGCTGGTGGAGCCACCACCTGGCTAAAACTGGCAGGCATGGGAAATACAGCTACCAGAAAAGCCAAATGTTAAAATACACACTGCCATAAGATCCTTTACAGCGTGATGGAGAGCAGGCTCCCTGGGGAGTCTTTTCCAGTAGACTCCATGTAGGTAAAACAATTAAATGCTCAAAAAATGTACTGCTTTTCCAGTGGAATGCTTTCCTTCAAGGGGGAAGAGGCAAAATAAATTTTGATGAATGCTCAAAAAGTTCTGTGGGAAGTTTTAAGGATGGTTGAACTTAGGCTGGGGCTTTTGACACCTGTGTGTGAGAAGCACTGTCTCTATGAGACCCACCCTTTGGAGATGCTAAAATTAGTCCTATAACTTAGAAGTCTGGGGAATTAAAAGGTAAGATGAAAAAATAACCACAGAGAAAGAATAAAGAGTGGCATGTGGCATAACATACACGTAAAATTTCACAGGTGATATAATTTTTCTTATAGAGAAAAACGGGAGCAATTCCTAATGCTTCATGCCCCCCCCAAAAAAAGAAAAGAAAAGAAAAGAAAAGAAAAGAAAAGAAAAGAAAAGAAAAGAAAAGAAAAGAAA